ACAGGTGAGGGTGGGTAGGTTATTACAGGTGAGGTGAGGATAAGTTATTACAGGTGAGGATGGGTAGGTTATTACAGGTGAGGATGGGTAGGTTATTACAGGTGAGGGAGGGTAGGTTATTACAGGTGAGGATGGGTAGGTTATTACAGGTGAGGAGGGTAGGTTATTACAGGTGAGGATAAGTTATTACAGGTGAGGGAGGGTAGGTTATTTGGTGAGGGAGGTGGATTGTTACAGGTGAGGGAGGGGTAGGTTACAGGTGAGGATGGGTGGGTTTTACAGGTGAGGGTGGGTAGGTTATTACAGGTGAGGGAGGGTAGGTTATTACAGGTGAGGTGGGATAGGTTATTACAGGTGAGGGAGGGTAGGTTATTACAGGTGAGGATGGGTAGGTTATTACAGGTGAAGGAGAGGTGGTTATTACAGGTGAGGTGGGTAGGTTATTACAGGTGAGGAGGGGGTAGGTTATTACAGGTGAGGTGAGGATAAGTTATTACAGGTGAGGATGGTAGGTTGTTGGGGTGAGGAGGTAGGTTATTACAGGTGAGGTGAGGATAAGTTATTACAGGTGAGGATGGGTAGGTTGTTAGAGGTGAGGGAGGGTAGGTTATTACAGGTGGGGTGAGGATAAGTTATTACAGGTGAGGATGGGTAGGTTATTACAGGTGAGGATGGGTAGGTTATTACAGGTGAGGATGGGTAGGTTATTACAGGTGAGGGAGGGTAGGTTATTACAGGTGAGGTGAGGATAAGTTATTACAGGTGAGGATGGTAGGTTGTTAGAGGTGAAGTAGGGTGGTTATTACAGGTGAGGGAGGTTAGGTTGTACAGGTGAGGATGGGTGGTTATTACAGGTGAAGTAGGGTGGATTATTACAGGTGAGGGATAGTTATTACAGGTGAGGGAGGGTAGGTTATTACAGGTGAGGGAGGGTAGGTTATTACAGGTGAGGTGAGGATAAGTTATTACAGGTGAGGGTGGGTAGGTTGTTAGAGGTGAGGTGAGGTAGGTTATTACAGGTGAAGGAGGGTAGGTTATTACAGGTGAAGGAGGGTAGGTTATTACAGGCTGAAGAAGCTGCCAGGAAACTTCAATGAGACTAAGTACACATTATCACTGAGCTCACGTGACTGTGTGTGTGTGTGTGTGTGTGTGTGTGTGTGTGTGCGTGTGTGTGTGTGTGTGTGCGTGCGTGTGTGTGTGTGTGTGTGTGTGTGTGTGTGCGCGTGTGTATCAAAATGAATCGGTTGAGTAGACTCAATTTGGGATATATTAAGCTTTCATCACGGTAAATCATGTTCATTTCCCGGTAAGAGCGTTATTTGGCCTCTCCTGCACGCCCGTGAGTTGAGTGTGCAGTTCTGTACAGGAAGTGAGGAAAGTGAGAAGCTTTTAGCCTGAGTGAGTTAGCTTGTGTTGCCTTGTTGTGTTAAGAAAATGTGTGTGTGTGTGTGTGTGTGTGTGTGTGTGTGTGTGTGTGTGTTGAACCTATCATGAGTTACACCAGAACAGGTATGCAGAGTAGGCCGGATGGGTGGTGGGGGTGGATGGTGGGTGGGTGCTGGGGGGTGGGGGTGGTGGGGGTGGGTGGTGGGGGGTGGGTGGTGGGGGTGGGGGTGGTGGTGGGTGCTGGGTGGTGGGTGGTGGGTGCTGGGGGTGGGGGTGGGTGTATTCAGGTGTACCCTTTCTCTATACCTTCAATTTCAGGCCAGCGGTAACCACTTAGTACACCCAATCCTGAAAGATGAAATATGCATCAGCTGCAGGTAACACGGACCTCCCCATACACACAGGCAATAAGTCCGCTTCTACCCTGATCCACACACGACACAACAACCCTTAACACCACCACCGGGATAGCACTGTAATACCTCCCCCACGGTGAAATATGTACAAGGCATGGACACAGCCGAAACATTTCCAGAGGATTTGCTTGTCCAAAAACATGAAATGGAAATTTGTGATGTTAAACTGGGATGGTCACGAGATAAAAGATGCAGTGAAGTAGTCATTTTCCCGTCGTGATATAAATGACGTCAACATTGATACTTCCATCGGGTCAGGGGGGAGGAGGAGTGGAGGGGATAGTCTACCTTCCCCAAAAAATATTGAAAATGGTTGTTTGGGGAGAATGGGCGCAATCAAGAAGGGTAAATGTAGTGTTTCTCTACCGTTATAAAGTAGTGTTTCTCTCCGCCGTAGTGTTTCTCTACCGTCATAAATCGCCGTAGTGTTTCTCTACCGTCATAAAGTAGTGTTTCTTCCGTCGTAGTGTTTCACCGTCATAAGTAGTGTTTCTCTCCGTCGTAGTGTTTCTCTACCGTCATAAAGTAGTGTTTCTCTCCGCCGTAGTTTTCTCTACCGTCATAAAGTAGTGTTTCTCTCCGTCGTAGTGTTTCTCTACCGTCATAAAGTAGTGTTTATCTCCGTCATAAAGTAGTGTTTCTCTACCGTCATAAAGTAGTGTTTCTCTCCGCCGTAGTGTTTCTCTACCGTCATAAAGTAGTGTTTCTTCCGTCGTAGTGTTTCTCTACCGTCATAAAGTAGTGTTTCTCTCCGCCGTAGTGTTTCTCACCGTCAAAAGTAGTGTTTCTTCCGCCGTATGTTCTCTACCGTCATAAAGTAATGTTTCTCTCCGTCGTAGTGTTTCTCTACCGTCATAAAGTAGTGTTTCTCTACCGTCATAAAGTAGTGTTTCTCTCCGCCGTAGTGTTTCTCTACCGTCATAAAGTAGTGTTTCTCTCCGCCGTGTGTTTACCGTCATAAAGTAGTGTTTCTCCGCCGTAGTGTTTTTACCGTCATAAAGTAGTGTTTTCACCGTCATAAGTAGTGTTTCTCTCCGCCGTAGTGTTCTCTACCGTCATAAAGTAGTGTTTCTCTCCGTCGTAGTGTTCTCTACCGTCATAAAGTAGTGTTTCTCTCCGCCGTAGTGTTTCTCTACCGTCATAAAGGTCATAGCTACAGGGTGTTGACGAGCTGATCACGATTATATTTTCATTTTACACTGTTTTTTATATTCGGGTGGAACACGGCGAGGCTGGACACGGAGACAAGACCGATGACACAAACATAAAATAAATAAAAGGAATAATAGGAATGACAATAATAAAGTGAGGAAATATATCGAACAACATATATACACACAGACAATTTTGTGTACATGATCGCAACGCCATCTATCGGGGGAGGAGGTGGGCGCTTTGTTGTCCGTGAGTCAGTGCGTCCGTCCGTCCGTCCGTCCATTTTATATGTACGGAACAAAATGTCATATCGTAGTTCTTTTGGGTTCATTTTGCGATACCCGACGATATTGTAACGAGGATTCGATCGATTTATTTCATATCTGTAAAAGACAAAAGGTTGGAACATAGCAGATTTGCAACACACTGTTCTTGGCGTCACACAGATTTGCAGCCCATTAATCTTGGCGTCACGCTGGTTACATCACCCTCACTATCATGCCTGAAGAATACGTGACGGATTTTGTTCAGGTTAGGTTAGGTTAAGTTCGGCTAAGATTAGATCGGGTTAGGTTAGGTTAAATCGGGTTCGAGTAGGTCAGGTTAGGTTAAAATTAGTTTAGGTTAGAGTAGATTAGGTTAAGTTTAGGTTAAGTTAGGTTGGGTGATGGTAAGACTGACAATGGACGCTGTGCTTTAATACTTGGCTCATGTCAGCGTGGGTCAAAGGTCAGGCTATGAGAGGTCACGATTGAAGGTCTACATCGGACACAGAAAAGACACCACTTGTGTTCTTTTACTGTCCTGTGTGTGTGTGTGTGTGTGTGTGTGTGTGTGTGTGTGTGTGTGTGTGTGTGCGACAATGACCTTAAGACACAGATGATATTTTTTTTTACCAACTTAAGGATAACCGTTTTGTTTTAATTTCTGTAATATTTCCACCTTTAGCGTCTGTCAGTTCATCCTCCCTCACCTGACCTTTACACCGGGAGGTCACAGGTCTCATATAACAGGTCACACGTCACACTAACGCCAGTGCAGGCAAAAGGTGGGCGAAAATATCGTCAGCTGTATGTAGCTGACATTATCTACAAAGTTACACATATATCGAGCAGTGGTCCTCCCCACCCTGATATATGGCAGTGAGACATGGGTCACATACAGGAGGCACATCAAGGCACTTGAAAACTTTCACCAACGTAGTCTACGTTCCATCCTCCGAGTTCGCTGGGAAGACAAGAGAACAAATGCCGGTATTCCTGCTGACACCAACTGTAGGAGCATCGAGGCAACCATTATCCATGAACAACTACGCTGGACTGGCATGTTACACGCATGGACGACAGTAGACTGCTGCGGCAGCTACTTTACAGTCACCTAAAGAATAGTAAAGTGAACGCTGGCGGGCAACTGAAAAGGTATAAGGATAGTCTTAAGACAAACCTGAAAAAGTGCCAAATCGACCCCCTCACCTGGGAGACGATCACTCCACATCGTAACGCTTGGAGGAACACCACAAGGTGTCAATACTTTCGAGTTAGCCCGACTGCAAACCGAGGCAGACAAGCGCCAACGCCGGAAAGACGTTGCCACCGCCCCCCTCACTCGATGTAGCCCTCCACATGTGCAACATCTGTGAACAACTCTGCCGGTCCCGTATCGGCCTCTTTAGTCACCTCAAAACTCACCAATGAAGGTGACATTCCTCATAACTCATGTCATTATATCACGGCTGGATGATCGTCATACTCGATTCCGAGTGACAGCAAAGTAGTAGTATCATCATAACATATTACAAAGATTAGATGAGGAAGAACGGCAAGCTTTTACGAATGCTTGTCCTGGCGTTGCTGGTTGGATTTCCTGTGAGTGACTCAGTCACACACACACCTTTCGAAAACAAACAAACAAACAATCAAACCAACAAACAAATCACTGGTGGAGAGGAAATTCAATATTACGAGGCTTTTGAGAATCGTTGGGGGGGGCACAGGTAGTCACTTCCCGGTGTGACGTCACGGAACACCTGCACAGTCAAGCATGGGTGAGCAGCAGCACAGGAGGGACGGAGTCAGTTTAAAGTCCAGTCACGCTAACCTACACCCAGTATTGTTGTTGCTATTACCACCCCAACTTCACCCACCCCACCCCACCCTCACCCCACCCTTACCCTACCTTCCTTCCCTTCACCCTCCCTCACCCCCATTCCCCATCTCCCTCATCAGCATTACATTATCTTCTCCCCCATCCACTTTCCCTCTTATCCCCTCCCTTCACCCTCTTCCCTCTCTCTCCCCCCCTCCCCACCTCTCTTACCCACCTTCCCTTGTGTGTGCTAACAGGAGGAGGGAGACGTCGACGGAGACAACAGACGCCGACGGAAACAACACACAGACGCCGACGGAGACAACACACAGACACCGACGGAGACAACAGACGCCGACGGAAACAACACACAGACGCCGACGGAGATAACAGACGCCGACGGAAACAACAGACGCCGACGGAGACAACACAACAGACACCGACGGAGAAACAGACGCCGACGGAAACAACACAGACGCCGACGGAGACAAGACGCCGACAGAAACAACAGACGCCGACGGAGCAAACGACGCCGACGGAAACAACACACAGACGCCGACGGAGACAACACACAGACACCGACGGAGACAACAGACGCCGACGGAAACAACACACGACGCCGACGGAGACAACAGACGCCGACAGAACAACAGACGCCGACGGAGACAACAGACGCCGACGGAAACAACACACAGACGCCGACGGAGAACAGACGCCGACGGAGACAACAGACGCCGACGGAGACAACAGACGCCGACGGAACAACAGACGCCGACGGAAACAACCACAGACAGAGCAACCGACACCAACGCCGACGGAAACAAAAGACGCCGACGGAAACAACACACGGACGCCGACGGAACAACAGACGCCGACGGAAACAACAGACGCCGACGGAGACAACAGACGCCGACGGAAACAACACACAGACGCCGACGGAGAAACAGACGCGACGGAGACAACAGACGCCGACGGAGACAACAGACGCCGACGGAAAACAGACGCCGACGGAAACAACACACAGACGCCGACGGAAACAACCGAAGACAAGACGCGACGGAAAAACGACGGAAACAACACACGACGCCGACGGAACAACAGACGCCGACGGAGACAACACCGACAAAACACACAGACGCCGACGGAGCAACGCGCCAGACGCCGACGGAAACAACACACGACGCCGACGGAGACAACACACCGACGGACAACCCGACGGGCGGCCGACGAAAAACACGACGCCGACGGTGACAACAGACGCCGACGGAGACAACAGACGCCGACGGAGACAACAGACGCCGACGGAGACAACACGACGCCGACGGAGAACACACAGACGCCGACGGAAACAACACCGACGCCGACGGAGCAACAACAGACGCCGACGGAAACAACAGACGCCGACGGAGACAACAGACGCCGACGGAGACAGACGCCGACGGAGACAACACACAGACGCCGACGGAGATACAGACGCCGACGGAGACAACAGACGCCGACGGAGACAACAAGACGCCGACGGAGCCAACAGACGCCGACGGCCAACACCGACGCCGACGGAAGGGGGGGGGGGACGCCGACGGAGACAACAAACGCCGACGGAAACAACACACAGACGCCGACGGAGCAACACAGACGCCGACGGAAACAACAGACGCCGACGGAGCCTCTACGATGACTAAACTTTATTGATTGTTCAGGTACACAAGACCTTCACATTCACACAGTCAATGTTTCCCTGACCACCAACCTCGATACAAAGACCACACAGTACCTCGATACAAAGACCACACAGTACCTCGATACAAAGACCACACAGTACCTCGATACAAAGACCACACAGTACCTCGATAAAAGACACACAGTACCTCGATACAAGACCACACAGTACCGATACAAAGACCACACAGTACTGATACAAAGACCACACAGTACTCGATACAAAGACCACACAGTACCTCGATACAAAGACCACACAGTACCTCGATACAAAGACCACACAGTACCTCGATACAAAGACCACACAGTACCTCGATACAAAGACCACACAGTACCTCGATACAAAGACCACACAGTACCTCGATACAAAGACCACACAGTACCTCGATACAAAGACCACACAGTACCTCGATACAAAGACCACACCGACCTCGATACAAAGACCACACCGACCTCGATACACTGACCACACCGACCTCGATACACCGTACACACGGGGCCTCGACTGCACAAATTGGTTGGTTGAGTCGACGTGGTTATTGTGAACCTCCTGTTGGCTAAATGAACAAAGACCCACAGCATAAAAGAAGCCCCATTACTGTCACATTACTGTCAGGAAAGGCAATCGAATATTCGTCTGGCGTAGGTAGACCTTACAGGCGTGGGCATACCTGGGCGATGGGAAATGCCAGGCGTTGATGTTTGCTCGTCCATAATCGACCATAATCGCCAGGCTAAGCTTATAAAGACATGATTATAACAGTGGTAAGAAGCGTCAGGCGTTGGTGTTCGCTCGTAGTGGCGTTGTATTAAATGGTGCTGGCGTAAATCACTGTTCCTTTGATCCACTAAAGTTTACTCATGAATAAGTTAAGAAAGAGATAAATAAAATAACAGCCGCAAAATACTCTCACTTAACTCTCTCTCTCTCTCTCTCTCTCTCTCTCTCTCTCTCTTCACTAATGAGGTATTGTGTTGGTCAATGGCCCGTTTACCTGTACTGTTGGTAACTAATACACGACCACTCACCTGTACTTCCATGCCCACATTAATATACAGCCATACACCCATACTAACATACACTACGTACAATACACCTACACTCCCATACTACCATATACACTCCCATACACTACGTACAATACACCTATACTCCCATACACTACGTACAATACACCTATACTCCCATACACTCCCAATCACCTTCACTCCCATACACCATAATTACTACCACAACACCACTGGGGAACCACCACCCCACCCCACCACAACACACACACCCACAACACCACTAAACCACCACCCCACCCCACCACAACACACACCCACCACACCACACCACCACAACACACCACCACCACACCCCACCCCACCACAACACACACCCACCACACCCCACCCCTGGGCACCACAACACACACCCACCACACCCCCACAACACACACCTACTACCACACCAACACAACACACCACCACTACACACATCACCACACCACCACAACACACCACCACACCCCCACACACCACCACAACACACCAGCACACACCACCACCACACCCCCACACCACAACACACCACCACCACACCACGTCTACAACTGTGGTGAATGATAACCTTTGACAGAGGAAGAAGAAGCTGTGGTGGTACAGTATTCATGAAGACTCACCGAGAGAAGCCACAGCTACATAATGCAACACAACATCCTTTCTTAATTACTCTACCTATGAATGTTGAATGATGTTACCTGGATAATACTCAACATTATGACCTCCTCATCAACAACATTTTTTAATCTCTGTTTATATGTATGTATGTATGTATGTATGTATGTATGTATGTACGTACGAATGTATGTATGTATGTATGTATGTATGTATGTATGTATGTATTTAAGTATGTATGTATGTATGTATGTATGTATAAACAAAATATCCTGCATCTCTCTTAAGCAAATTCTCTTCATGGATAAAGATATTAATTACATCCCGACCTTAACCTGAGACGTTAACCCCCGAAGGAGGAGTAGAGTCCCACTGAGGTATTTTATCCTGGTTAAGGCCACAGGTGAGAGAAACCTAACCTAACCACCTGTAACTTAACCTAACCCAAATTAACCTAACCTAACCTAACCAAACGTAACTTAATCTAACCCAAATTAACCTAACCTAACCTAACCACCTGTAACTTAACCTAACCCAAATTAACCTAACCTAACCAAACGTAACTTAACCTAATCCAACATAACATATGATTAGGTGTTTATGTGTACAGTTTATCTATCTATCTATCTATCAGTCAGACAGTCAGCCACCATTCAAACAGTCAGCCACCAGTCAAAGTCAGCCACCAGTCAGTCAGCCACCAGTCAGAGTCAGCCACCAGTCAGTCAGCCACCAGTCAAAGTCAGCCACCAGTCAGACAGTCAGCCACCAGTCAAAGTCAGCCACCAGTCAAGTCAGGTCAGCCACCAGTCAAAGTCAGCCACCAGTCAGTCAGCCACCAGTCAGTCAGCCACCAGTCAGTCAGCCACCAGTCAAAGTCAGCCACCAGTCAGACAGTCAGCCACCAGTCAGTCAGCCACCAGTCAACACGGTCAGCCACCAGTCAAACAGTCAGCCACCAGTAAGTCAGCCACCAATCAGTCAGCCACCAGTCAGTCAGCCACCGGTCAGCCACCAGTCAAACAGTCAGCCACCAGTCAAAGTCAGCCACCAGTCAGTCAGCCACCAGTCAAAGTCAGCCACCAGTCAGACAGTCAGCCACCAGACAGACAGACAGTCAGGAGGATGACTGACAACGCCCCAAAAAACTGCCCTAAAAGAGAAGAATCGATGACGTATATAATGTGTGTGTGTGTGTGTGTGTGTGTGTGTAATTAATTGACCTCTCCCTCTCTCCCTTCCGTCTCTTCCCCTTTCCCTCCCCATCTCTTCCCCTCTTTACATCTTCCTTAACAACTACCCTCTCTTCCTTCCCTTCTCTTCCCCTCCCTCTCTTTCCCTCTTCCTTCCGTCTTTTCCCCTCGCCTTCTCTTCCCTGTTTTACATCTCCCCTCCCACTCCCCCCCCACTCCCCCCACCCTCTCCGCCAGGTAACCATACGGCACCAATTACTATCATTACCTCTCACTTACTGACCTCAGCGATGCAGGTGTTGATTAGTCACACAGGTATGTCAACAACACAGGTAAAGGTAACGACGACCTGAGACACCCAATAGCCACCAGGTGTGTGTAGGTGGGTGTGTGTGTGTAGGTGGGTGTATGTATGTTAGGTGCAGGTAGGGGTGGGGTAAGTTGGGGTGGGGGTGTAGAGGTGTAAGTGGGGGGGTGTAGGAGGGGTGAGTGGGGGGGTGGGGTGTAGGAGGGGTGAGTGAGGGGGAGGAACAGTGCAGGTGGTTAGAGTCGATACCTACCTCACATATATAATAATTAATGTTAGGGAGATGACCCGCGACTCTATTGATTACTAAATGGGCAAGTGTGTCTTTTTTTAGGTATTTTTTTCCCGGTCATATTCTGGTGTTTTTTCCGGTCATATTCTGGTGTTTTTCCCCGGTCATATTCTGGTGTTTTTCCCGGTCATATTCTGGTGTTTTTCCAGGTCATATTCTGGTGTTTTTCCCGGTCATATTCTAGCGTTTTCCCGGTCACATTCTGATATTATAACTTTACCTTCTGTTACTTAAATACTGCACTTATCTTCCCTTTCACTTAAGTATATTACTAGTCCTGTTAGGTTAAGTTAGGTGAGGTTAGGTTAGGTTAAATTGAGGTTAGGTTAAATTGAGGTTGGGATTAGGTTAGGTTAGGTGAGGTTAGGTGAGGTGAGGTTAGGTTAGGTTAGGTTAGGTTAGGTGAGGTTAGGTTAGGTTAGGTTATATGAACGTCCATCACTCTTGTCGTCTGTTCAAATAAATATATGCAAGTTTCTCCTTATAAATGTATCCCTTTTGACATCTTCTAAGTACAAATAAGGATAAGTTACTTTTATTACTTACTGTACGTTGGTCGACCCTGATGCCACTTTCGCCTAAAATGTATTAAGTATAAACAGTAAAATAGACACTGTTGTTATCTTCACTAACAAGCACAAACAAGACCACCAATGTTGCCACACACACACATCAGTGGTGCCAACACCTCCTCGCACCATTACAAATAACCCAGAACGCCACAACACGCACTGGCCCATTATCTTAATCAGTGCTGAGTGATATATTTTCAGGTGGTGGGTCGCATGCGGCAATTCTGGGGCGCACCATATGGCAGTCGCCTTTGTTGTTATTGTTTATGGCGCACGCTATCACACACGTGCTCAACCTGTTATCGACGCACGTGCGCAACCTGTCATCGTGCACGTGCAGTACTCACCGCAATCCCTGACTCTTAGGCACAACACGGCGTAAGGGTATATATTATGTGGCCTCAGGTGTGTGGGCGAGCAAGTGGTGACACGTTCCTTGCTCTCATGAACTACCTGTGCGTGCCTGTCTGTCTGTTGGTACTGTGTCACCTGTCGCTGTCATTAACTACAGGTGTGTGTGTGTGTGTGTTGGTGCTGTCACCTGTCGCTGTCATTAACTACACCTGTCGCTGTCATTAACTACAGGTGTGTGTGTGTGTGTGTGTGTGTGGTGCTGTCACCTGTCGCTGTCATTAACTACAGGTGTGTGTGTGTGTGTGTGCTGTCACCTGTCGCTGTCATTAACTACAGGTGTGTGTGTGTGTGTGTGTGTGTGTGTGTGTGTGTGTGTTGTGCTGTCTGTCGCTGTCATTAACTACAGGTGTGTGTGTGTGTGTGTGCTGTCACCTGTCGCTGTCATTAACTACAGGTGTGTGTGTGTGTGTACTGTCACCTGTCGCTGTCATTAACTACAGGTGTGTGTGTGTGTGTGTGTGTGTGGTGTGTGTGTGCTGTCACCTGTCGCTGTCATTAACTGGTGTGTGTGTGTGTGTG